ATGTGTTTGCGGTGTGTGTGTTGTGTGTGTGTGTGGTGTGTGTTTGCAGTGTGTGTGTTGTGTGTGTGGCGTGTGTGTTGTGTGTGTGGTGTGTGTTTGCAGTGTGTGTGTTGTATATTTGCGGTGTGTGTGTGGCGTGTGTGTGGTGTGTGTTTGCAGTGTGTGTGTGTTGTGTGTGTGGTGTGTGTGGTGTGTGTGTGTTGTGTGTTGTATCTACAAGAGCCCATCTGAGGCATCCTTCAACTCTGTTACTGTCTGGTGTTATAATTCCTATCTCTTCTGGTTGATTCTATATTTCCCATATCTATTCTCATCCTTTTTACTAGTGCTTTTTTTTCTTTTAAAAAGATTTATTTATTTGAAAGAGTTACAGAGGGAGGAGGAGAGACACAGAGATATCTTCCATCCACTTGTTCATTCCTTAAATGGCTGCAACAGCCAAAGTTTGGTCAGGCCAAATCTGGGAGCTTCATCTGAATCCAGTCAGTTAGTAGTTGGAATGTGTATGTTTTCTGTTGGATTTGTTGCTATCCTGCCCTTAGTGCACCATGGACTTCAATCTTTGTTTTTTTAAAGATTTGTTTTAATTTGAAAGGCAAGAGTCAGAGGGAGAGGTAGTGAGAGGTCTTCCTTCTGCTGGTTCCCTCCCCACATAGCTGCAATGGCTGCGACTGGACCAGGTAGGAGCCGGGAGCCAGGAGCTCTCTCTGGGTCTCCTTGTGGTTGACAGGAACCATGGGACTTTGGGCCATCACCCTCTGCCTCCCGAGTGAGTTAGCGGGAGGCTGAATCAGCAATGTGGGGTGCTGGGACTCCAGACAGGCAATCCGAGAGGAAGACAGGCATCCCAAGTAGCAGCCTCACCCGCTGGGCCACAGCAGCCACGTCCCTGGGCCCTTTTCTCGGTGTTCCTGTTCCATTCTTGGATTTAGCCTCTCCTGAGCCTGAAGCTCAGAGCTGACGTTTGTTCTCTCCACCACTGCACAACAGTGTGAGCTTACTTTGGATTCCACCCTCAGCAGCCTGCTGTTTAGATCTGGGGTTGCATTCTTGGTCATTCTCGTCCCATTTCAGACATGGGCAGGCTCCGTACCCGGGTAGAGGCTCTTGGTGAACCTGGCCCCATGGCAAGCATGCCGCACCTTAGATCTTCAGGGTCAGCTGTGGGAAGCTGCCTGCCTCTCTCCTAGCCCTAGGGGATCCTGAACCATCTGGACTCCAGTCATGTGCCTGTCCCCCAGGTACAAAGATCTTCTTTCTTTATCCAAGCGCCAACTCGTCTCCAGTCCTGAGGTCTTTGGGATTCACTGTACTTCCTGGCGGTATTCTGCACTTCCACCTCATTCATGAACATAACAGTTTTCAAGCAGATATCAAGTGCACCCCCTCCAGATACCTGGGGTGTTGGCTTTCCACAGCACGCATTCCTTTCTGTTCCCAAAACTTCCAGTTCCCTCTGCCTTCCGTGGTCTGAATGGTGTCTTCTCAGCTCCCTGCAGCCACAGAGCTTTGTTTGAGGGCCCTCCCTCCGTGCAACCTGAATTCTGCCTCAGCTACGGGGGAGCACCAGGGGTCGTCTCTTTGTCTGCTTCCAGCAGGGATTTTGTCCAGCATGATGGTGGTTTCGTAGGTCTTGTCTAGTTCTTGTCCAGTTTTCCCATTGTTTATGGCAAGAGGGCAACTGGCACACTAGTTCATCCTTCATAGGTGGGAACTGAGGAAACAGAAGTGTGCTGTCTTTGTATAATAAAGGTAAATAAATCCCTGGAAACCTCAAGTCCACAAATCTACCTTTTGTTGCTGTCTTCCTGAAAACAGCCCCATGACTCCCCAGATCTCCCAATGGGGTCCCAGGTTAGGAGAGCGGCACGTGAGGCCCCCGGGTACTGCCAGCAGCTCTGCGGAAGCCGCAGGAGCACGGCACTGCTCCCACGTCGCTTCACACCAGACATGCCTTGCTCCTGCTACCCCAGGTCCTTTGCTGAATCAATGACATTCTTGTGGCTTCAATACGGTGGCTCAAGGAGGGTTTCTTAAGTATCTTACATGGTGAAGCAATGTAAGTACTGGATTATTTATGGAACACTGGTATGTCTACATATGCAATTCCTCATTAGAATCATTTTATGTTAAAAATATAATAGATTTTAAGATAGTTATAATAATGAGCCCAGATCTTCACAAAAATGCTGTCAAATCAAATATAATGAGTTTGAAGTATTTTAAATTAGTATTTATTTATTCCTTATTGATTTCCCTATCTGCTGACACTTGCTAATACGCTATTAGTAATAGGTGCCAAAGATTTATAAAACAATAGTGAAGGAAAAATAAAAATAGAGAAAGAGGTAGAGAGCGAGGCAGAGAGCAGCTGTAAGACCACCTGCTTACTATTTCTTCCTTTTCAAGACAAAAGATCGTGGTTGCTCTTGTGGGCAATGGGATGCCTAGGACCAGCATCTCTGGGACCTTAGTTTGAAAAAAGTCTCTGGTTTGATCGATAGTTGGGTCCTAGGGGTTAGGGTAGGGCCAATCATTTTTAAAGAGGAGAAAAACAGACCATGCCCAGCCGAACCAGGAACATTTGAGGAGAGCAGACCTGAGCGAGGGCTCCAAGGCCAAGGTTCAGGGCTGCATAGTGGCAGAGGAGACGGTGCTGGGCTGAGGTCTTGACGCGAGTCTGCAGAGCTCACCTCTGGCTTGGCCTCCTGTCCTGAGCCCCAGTCCTCTCGCACTTGCTGCCTCTGCCCACTTCCAGCTGCGGGGCCCGCCTCACTTACAACAGTATGCCTAAAGCTCCCTCCCTCTGCCCCCAAACACTCTCTTTTCTACAAACAGTGTTGGGATCTTCTGTGTGCTCCTGGCCAGTCCAGCTCGGGCTTCCCCCGATGCAAACACCCAGATGCCACACCTCGGAGAGCCTTCCCTGCTGCCGCCAATGCCGCATCTCCTCCTGCCCACTCTCTCAGTCATCGGCACATGCTGTGTCCTCTGATGTTCCTCCTTGCCGTGCCTGTGGTGTCTCCTCTCCTAAGCACGTCCATGAAGAGGCACATCCACACGGTGGACACGTTAACACTGCAGCTAGTGAGGTAGCTCACCCAGGTCACTGCATCTAAGTCATGGTGCACCCTCCCTTCTCTTCCATGGTCTACGTATTGATCAGTGACACAACAGGCACCTGTCCTACAGAAAGCCTTCTGGGGGATGTGGCCTGTAGGTCACAGTCGGCGTTCCATACATACCTGCCCTCATTTCCTGCTCCAGTCCTATCTCTCCTCAGTCCCTTCTGCCTGTCATTACTTATGTTCTATGCATGGCTCCATCGCCTGCGTGACCGCCTTCTCCACCACTGAGGAAAAGCACCTCTGTGTTGCTCAGCTAGCCTACGTGTCTGCCTCGCCGTTGGGGTCAAGCCCAACTGGATCTCTTCCTTAACAGATCCGCTGACCGCCCTGCCCCGCCCCAACATCCTTCCACAGAGCACTCACACGGCACTTTGGGCGACTTTCCTTGGGAGTGACCCTTGTGCCTCCTCCCATATCCCACCCTGACCTCAGTTCTTGCTGGGGCCGTAGACACCTGCGAGATTCAGCCACCGCCTCCGCCCGTCTTCCCCTCTTGCTGCTTTGCTGCACAGTGGGCTGCGTCAGGCCCCTCTCTTCCCCCGCACTGGCCTTTGGCAAGCCCACGGTGCCCCATCTCAGTCCTTGTCTGTGGCCCACTCAGGACACGTGACTCTTTCTGGTTTCTTCTACAGCCTGCTGCACGGGAGCTGCAGAGAGCTCGAGTTAGTGTCCCTCCCTCCCTGTCCGCTGCCACTCTTGCTGTTCTGTTGGAGGCCACTCACGTTGGCTGGGAACCTGGAGCATACTTCGAGAAATCTAAATGAGGCCTGGGGCACACACCCCGGTGCACCTGTCTCCATCCTCAGCCTATCAGGTATCTCCCGCCAGGCTCTGGCAATGCAGCCTGGACTGAGAACGGCCATGAAGCTGAGATGCATCGCTCGGTCCACTTACTTCTCCCCCTCTCCCTCTCCAAGCCCCAGGCTTCCTCTTCCTACCAGGAAACACTGTCTGTGCCTATCCCTTCCTTCTCTCTCCAAGCAGGATTTGCCCACGTTTCCTCCCTTATCCCATAAAGACAGAATGACAACTGAAGAAAGTGATGTTTGTGGAAGCAGTGAGTCTGCTAAAAAGCTATCAGCTGCATACTTTTAAAGTGGTAATATACAGCACAGGTGGCTGTGTTTTGTAAATTGTAACGCTTGTAAGGATGTAACAAGTACAAATATTATCAACACCTGTTTGGAGAATTGAACACGAGGCAGAAAACATTAATGACAGCCTTACCTTAGCCCAGGTGGGCCATGGTGCTCTGGGTTCTGTGAGCATGAGGGGTGACCTTGTACTTTGGCAAGTTCCTGAAAGTGACCATGAATGTGTCACACAAGAGTGGTGGCTGCCGAGGAGGCTGGTGGGTTTTCAGCCCACCTGTGGGACTTGTGCACAGGTGCTTCTCCCGTTATAATTGGTGTTTGTGCAACTTCCTGCCCCAGGCTTAGGTCTGCCACGGATGGTGCTGTCTACTCTGAAAAGTTGAGATGAGTGTCTTTCCTTGTTTAATCATAAATCAAAGTGATTCTCCCAGTTCCTGGGCATCCTCTTGAGCTCTACCATCCCCCAGTGCCCCATGTCTCATCACAGAAGCCAAGAATTCCGAGGCCAGAGCAAAACAGATTGGGCTAAAATACTGTCCAAGGCCAGGGCTCAGTTTTCTGCAGGAGCAGATTCATCTCAGCAGAATCAGCCTCTTCTCACACTAGATCAAGTCTGTAAGTTGTGTTCCCTCTCAGCCTGGGTCTGGATGTGAGACGCGGTCAGCCATCCTCAGACACCGCCTGACTGCTGTGTTCCCAGGGGCTTCCTGGCTACATCCCCACCAGCAGCGTGAGAGCTGCCTTCCTTGGATCCCGCAAGCC